CACACACACACACACACACACACACACACACACACACACACACAATTCCCCCCCCCACCTCTCGCTCCCTCGTGTCTGTCTCTGCCTCTGCTGTCTCGTGGCTGTGCAGGTCCCTGTTGTCTGCGTCCCCGTTGATCCGGACACGGGCAGCGCTGACGCGTCGTCGTCGCCCGCGCGCCGCAGCATCGCCATCCGCACGTTCCTCACCTCGGACTTTATGACTGGCGTACCCGCCACCCCAGGCAACGAGGTGCGCAGGCATGCGTCATCTCATCGTTGCTTTTTGCAGTCGGGGCTCTGTTGGACTGGGGGCTGCATGCCATGACTGCAACTGCTTTTCTCGCGCTTGCCCCTTCTGAAAACCACACACACACACACACACACACACACACACACACACACACACACACACACACACACACAAACCACATCCACACTCCCTCATGTACATGTGCATGTCTCTCCCCCTCCTCTCTTTTTTTGTCTCCGGCAGATGCCTGTGGATGTGCTGCAGTCGATGGTTGACCAGATCTCCGCCCTCGGCCACGTCTCCCGCGTCATGTACGACTTGACTGCAAAGCCACCAGGCACAACGGAGTGGGAGTAAACGCGCTGGCCAAGAGTGCCCGTACGCGAACACGGCGCGTCGCTGCACTCGCTATGTCAAATTTGTGTCGCTGATAGGTCTTGCTGGCTCGCATTCTTGTGCACTTGATTTTGTGTCTTGTGTATGTGCATGTGTGATTGCTTGCGCATGTTGTGTGAGGTGTGTGTGTGTGTGTGTGTGTGTGAGTTGTGTGAGTGCGTGTGCATGTGTGAGTTGTGTGCGTGTGTGCGTGCGTGTGTGATTACTTTCGTGCCTGTGTAGGATTCATTGGATTGCAATATTCATGTTGTGTGCGTGGAAGGCTGATGCGCTTCGGGTGGTTTGTGGATGTATCTGATTGCCGAGTTGCAGTGAAGTACACGTGACGTCCACGCAAACTGACATCAAACCCCCGTATTCCACCAAATCATCCATTACTTATGAGCCGGAAACAACCACAACGCCATGCCACAACAGCACAGCACGAACACGCCAAGTTAGTCAAGCAATCATTTAGCCATCAAAGCACGTGTTTTGCGAGAGTATAGAAGGAAGCTTGGTGCCACTGCTCATACATTTCAGTGCTTCAGTTCACTTTTTCTCGTCATCATCCTCGTCATCGTCCTCAGCATCGGACTTTTCTGGTGTTTTCTTCTTGAGCGCTTTCGGGTCCACAAATCCTTCGTGCGATTGTGCTCTGAAGACAAACGAGACCGTCTTGCCTGCTGCTGCTGCCAGCACTTTGTCCTGTGTTGTGTATTGTGTTGTACGTGCGTGTGTGTGTGTTGTTGTGCATGTTATGTGAACACAGAGACAAGGGATGCGAACCACCAGGGCAATTGGAGAGGAGACAGAAGAACAAGTCTCGCAGCAAGCAAGCAAGCAAGGCAGCACACCTTGATGTTTTTGCCGAGTGGGTAGTGGTCCCACTCTGCCAAATCCTGTGGAATGCCCTTGACTTCACCCGTTGGCGGAATGAGCGAGTACGTGCCGTCCTTTGAGCAGCGGCGGCACTTGAACCTGTGGAAGGGGGGGGGGGGTGGTGAAAGTGTGAAGGAGGGGCGAGTGCATGCGTGTGTGCGTGTGTGCGTGTGTGTGTATGCATGTTCGTGTGTGCGTGTGTGCGTGTGCGTGTGTGTGTGTGTATGCATGTTCGTGTGTGCGTGTGTGTGTATGTGTATGCGTGTTCGTGTGTGTGTGTGTGTGTTTTAGTAAGTGCACGAGGGAGTGAAGATACAGGAGTGGTAGTCGGCGTATGTCTGTGCATGGTTTTGTCTGTCTGTGAACGGACGTCGTTGTAACACCGAGCAAGGACATATGCAGTGGCACAAGCACACGCTCTCCTTCGCCCTCCCTCGCACGCACAGTACGTGACGTACTGCATGTGTGTGCTGCTGGTGCATTTGTCGTCCAGCACAAACAACTCCCGCAAGTCGTTCTTGGAGAAGTGGCGCTCCACGTCCTGCCAGCGGAGACAGTGGTGTCAAGTCGGGCGCAGGCACAGCACCAACATCAACAACATCAGCACGTGTATGAGGAGCAAGGCAAAGCGAGCCTCACACAGATTAATTGCCGTGCACACAAACACACAAACACACACCGACACACACACAAACAAACACACACACACACACCGACACACACACACACACACAACACACGCAAAAGACTGCAAGATTGCAAGACGCAAATACGCACCAGGCCATCGTCGACAACACATTGGCTCAGGGCTTTCTTGTGCGCCTGTCGCTGCAAGATCTTCTCCTCAATCGTTCTGTGTTCAAAACACAACGAACGAGAGCATTGGGGATGTGATGGCAGACCTCACACCAAGTGCACAAACGGCTGCAAACGCACACACGGATACAAACACAATTACCAGATACCAGCAAACACATGCACGCGCACAGATACAAACGAGCACACATGCACAAACACACACAGATGCACAAACACACACGCGCACAGACACAGACAGCAAACACAACGCACGCAAACACTGATGCAATCAAAAACACAGGTACACGCACCCTGTGGTGACAAAACGGTAGACGAAGCAGAGCTTGGTCTGCCCGTCGCGCCAGACGCGGGCCATTGCCTGCTCGTCGTTGGCCGGGTTCCAATCCGGATCAAACATGACCAGGCGGTTCGCGCCAATGAGGTTGAGCCCACACCCGCCGGCCTTGGAGCTGAGCATGAAGATGAAGTCGGAGGAGGTGGGGTCGTTGAAGCGGTCCACAATCTTCTGCCGGCGCTTGATGGTCATGCTGCCGTCCAGCCGCACATACTGGTAGCCGCGCAGTGCACACAGCGTCGTAAACAGCTCAAGCGTCTGTGGGTGACGTGCAGGAAGCAGGTTGAGGATGAGAGAGGGTGTGTGGTGAGGATGAGAGAGCAGAGGTGAGAAAAACAAGAGAAAAACAAAACAATACACTCGCGTTTGATGCCACCAGAGCACAAGGCAGCGTAAGTGCTGCGTGTGATGGGATGTGTGTGCGTGGGGTGTACGCCACGGGGTGTGTGAGTGATGCTGTATCGCTGAGACCTGCGTGTAGTTTGAGACGAGGACGATTTTGTCGGTGGTTTGCATCTTGATGGTGGCCAGCAAACAGTCCAGGACAGCAAGTTTGCCTGCACACAGAGGAGGAGGATGAGAAGAACACAATAATAGTTGTTAGTGTTCATGGCCAACAACGCGTTCAAACACGAGGGCACACATTTTGGCCATTTTGGCACTCCCGATCCTTCTACCGCACAAACACAGACAGACACCCACATACACAGGCATACACACATACACACAGACACCCACACACACATACACACACACATACACACATACACAAACACACACAGACACCCACACACACAAACATACACACACAAACATACACACAGACATACACACACGCACACACACACGCACACACACACACACACACAAACATACACACAAATTCATGTTGCGTCTCTGTCCACCTGAGAGCTGTGGCTGCAGGCGTTGCATGGACGGCTTGAGTTGTGGCAAGAACGGGTCCAGGGCACCAAACGCCTTGTCCTTTGTCTTGCCTTTACCCTATTGGTGGGAGAGGGTGCGCGCGAACGAATGAGGAAATTGGTGGGACTGACCAGACCTGCGCGTTGAGTTCCGGTGGGATCAAGGTCATACGTGTTGCGCAGAGACAACAAACGCACGCCCACGCGCACGCACGCAAACACAAACACACACACACACACGCCAGACACAAACGCACACGCACACAAACACACACACACCAGACACAAACACACACACGAATACACAAACACACACACACACAAACAAGCACGAATACCCTTGCACGTACGGCAATCTTGTCGTGAAGGAGCTGTGGGTGGTTGCAGAGTTTCTTGAGTTCTGTGATAAAGGCGAGAGAGGAGCCCGTGACGGTGCCGTCCTTGCGCTTCATCTTTGCTCCAAGCATCGCCTTGTACATCTCCATCTGCAGGTTCGTTGGGCGGCAGCACACCACCTGCTCAATCTTGGGCGGCAGGTATTTGGACAGGATGTCGTTTGTGCGCCGGATCACGCACCGGTTCACAATCTCCGTCATCTCTGCCAGCCGCTGCGCGCCAATCTCAAGCTCCTGAACACATGTGCCGGGGAGACAAGAGAAAAGGGGCGTGTGGATATGCATATATGTATGTGAATGTGTGTATGTATGTGGGAGTGTGTGTGTGATTGTGTGGGGGATTGTGTGTGAGAGTGTGTGTGGGAGTGTGTGTAATTGTGAGTGTGGGGGGGGGATACACAGACCCGAAGAGAGACAAAGGGTGCGTTGGAACACCACACACACACACACACACGCACGCATGCATCTGACCTTGTCTGTGGCGAGGGAGTCACGGCTGCGGAGAATGGGGTTCTCAAATCGTTTCCTGAACTCGCCCGCACTCCCGAGAAGGCCGGGATTGCAAAACTCCACCAGCGCGTAGTACTCCAGCAGCTCATTCTGGATCGGTGTGCCTGCCGGGGGTTATGGGTAGGGAGGTGAGGGGGTGAAGGAGGGTGAGGGAGGAGGTGAGGGAGTGAGGGAGTGGGTGGGGAAGTGATGGGATATTGTTGCTGTGGTGGTGGTGGTGGTGGTGGTGGTGGATAACATCATTGTAATGCAATGTGAGGGCCAGAAGCAATGGCAGCAGCAGCAGCAGCAGTTGACAAAACACCCAACCTGAGAGGATGATGCGACGTGCTGTCTTGAGTTGCATGAGGGACTTGTAGGTCTGACTCTGGCTGTTCTTCAGGCGATGGCCCTGGCAACACGAGTGCAGTCAAGGCAACAAGAGACAATGTGGCAGCGGCAGCGGCAATGGCGCCCGTGCAGAAGAGAAGGAACGTGTGTGCGTTTGTGTGAGTTAACTTGTGTATGTGTGCGTGTGCGTAAAAATGTGTGAATGACGTGTGACATGTGGTCGAACGTGTGCAACTGCACATGTTCAAGCACAGCCGTGGTTCAAATCGACAAGCACTGCACCGCTTGTCAGGTCCACAGCACCATCAACAGCGTGCCTGTTTGCACCTCATCACAGATGACAATGCCGATTGGTTTGACGCAGAGGATGTCGGCGTTGAGGCGCAGCGCCTCGTACGAGAGGATAAGCACCGGGTGCTGCACGCGGCCGGTGGCGCTCACAAACCGCTCTGCAATCGGGGGGAGGGGGATGGGGATGGGGTGAGGGCAAGGGATGGTGCGGTACACGTGCGCACAAAGCATACACAAAGCACACACAAAGCACACACAAAGCACACACAAAGCACACACAAGCATGCGTATACACACACACACACAAGCACACACAAGCACACACACACACATACACACATGCGCAAAGCCATCAGAGGTGCATGTGTGTGCGTACCCATTTGGCGCTTCATGTCGTCGCGGCCAGAGTCGACGGCGAGCGGGGAGATGCGATTGCCAAGCCACTTGCCAAACTCGTTGTACCAGTTCTTCACCAGGCTGCTCGGGCACACGATAATCGCCTTGTTTGTCGTTGGCCGGCAGTCGGGGCTCTGTGTCTGTTCGCGCATATGTGCAGGGTGTGCGTGTGTGTGTGTGTGTGTGTGTGTGTGTGTGTGTGTGTGTGTGTGTGTGTTAGGTTGTTGTGAATAAGTGAATGAGCGCACGAGTACGTGGTCGTGTCAAGTGTGAGTGGACTGAGAGGTGAGGTGAGGCTGAAGCAAGAGAGGCAACAATGCAACAGTGGGTATAGGGATGTTACCAGCAATGTCCAGACGAGTGTCACGCATTGAAACGTCTTGCCCAAACCCTGGAGTCGAAACGAAATAAACAGCGAGAGCGTCAGCGTTTGAGTACAATGTCACATGACGCACAGCAATGGTTGCGCGCGCGTGTGAGAGAGGGAGTGAGTGAGTGTGTGTGTGTGAGTGAGTGTGGGTGTGAGTGTGAGTGTGAGTGTGTGAGTGAGTGTGTGAGTGTGAGTGTGAGTGTATGCACTCACGAAATACAACACATGTACACGCACACGCGTACACACAGGCGCACGTGCAGCGGTACGAGCAGGAGCCGTGTTGTGTCGACAGACCATTTCATCGGCCATAATACAGCCGTTGAAGCCTTCGATGTTGACGCCTGTGACTGCGTTCCACAAGAACTGCACGCCCTCCACTTGATGCGGCCGCAGCTTTGTGCCAAGAATGGGATCAACAACCACTGCACACGTCGTGTCGACAAGGCGGTTCGCAGTTGAGTCAAACGTACACACACACACTCACTCACACACTCACTCACACACTCACTCACACACACTCACTCACACAGAGTCAAGCAACGTGCTACACTGGAGAATCATTCCATGCACATCAAGGGATTCAAAGTGCACGTCATGTGTAACGTATGCGCGCACATACACGCACACGCACGCGCGCGCACATACACACACACACACATACACACGCACACGCACAAGTACACGTACACACCGTGAACGGGCCGCTTCTCGCCAAAGGTTTTGGTGGCTTGCTCTGCAGTGAGCTCTGGGGGCGTGTACAAGACAACGGCCCCGTCAGCCTCTGGGTCGTGCAGTGCCTTCCGCACGGTGGGGCGACGAACACCCAGGCCAACGCGGCCACTGGAGGACCCTGCACGTGGACACCAAAGAAAGGTCGTCGACAACACAAGCGCGCGCGTGTTCAGTAAGATTTCAGCGAGTTTTCCCCAATAAACACACACACACACGTCAGGAACGCAACAAATAGGGCATGCGCTCCGCATAGGCGCGTGTTTGATTGATTGTGCGCTTTTGCACAAAGAGGCACCAGCAGCACGGGTCGCACCTTGATATCCGGGGATTGGCACTTTGAAGGGTCGCTGCAGCAGCCGCTTGATTCTCACCTCCTGTGTGTGATGGTGTGTGTGTGTGTATGCAAGGGCGTGTGAACGGGTGGAAGGGCGTGTGAATGGGTGGATGTGTGGGTGAGAAGGGGACAGACAGCACGGGAAGATCAAATTGATGCAATCACGAACATGGTCATCCTCCGGTGGGGTTGCGCCGTTCTCCTTTTCGGCGTCCTGACGCTCTTCACCAGTGTTTGGGGACTGCACCAGTGTGCATGCGTGCGTGTGTGTGAACGAAGCACGGTGAGTGCCAGTGGCGGTGGAGGAAGGCACAAGGAAGGAAAGCAAGCGCTACACAGTGATTTCCATTCACAGACAAGCTCCTTACTTTGGGAGGTCGTGCCTTCGACCCCATGACAGGTGCAGCCCTGCGCTTGGCTAAATAGCTCGGTGCATGACTTCGGCGCTGTGTGTGTGTGTGTGTGTGTGTGTGTGTGTGTGTTGTGTGTGTGTGTGTGTGTGTGTGTGTGTGTGTGTGTGTGTGTGTGTGTGTGTGTGTGTGTGCAGCGGGAGGGGACGCAGGCGTGCGGACGAGAAGCAACTGTGGCTACAGCACCCACTTGACCACAACCTACACTCATGCATGAGCCCATATTGGGTGCCAGGCCACAAGTCACAAGCCACAAGCCACAAGCCACAAGCCATAAGCTACAAGGTGCCGCACAAGACGGCAGACAACCTCCCGCACAAGCACGTCCAAACAAGTCCTGGCACTGCGCACCATTTCCGTTGTCCGTTTCGAATCCTGCGCGGCTGTAAATAGACACCACAAAGTGTAGTGACAGCGGCAGCACTTCGGGCGGGAAAGCGCGCAGCACACACACAAAGCAACAGCCAGCAGCCAGCCAACAGCCAAGATGCCACCGACAACAACTGGAGCGGTGGCGCAGGAGAGGGGGCCAAAGGTGTCCGTCGTGCTTGGCAAAGGACGGACAGAGAGCATCAGGGAGGCGGTGGCATGTTTGCAGAGTGGACTGCCAAATGCAGTGGATCGCGCCTTCAAAATCCTTCACACCGTCTCCTACGCCGGCATCAACGTCGATCAGGTGCAGTGGCACGGATTCGATTTGGCGCGCATGTTGTCATTTGTGTGTCGTTTGTGTGTCGTTTGTGTGTGTGTGTGTGTGTGTGTGTGTGTGTGTGTACATGTTGTCATGTGTGTGTGTGTGTGTACATGTTGTCATGTGTGTGTGTGTGTGTTGTTGTTGTGGGTGTGCATGTATGTGTGTATGGGTTGATTTGTGTCCCTTTTTCATGCTCTCACACGCACATTTACGCGTGTGCACACGCATCCACGCGCGGACGCAGGTGGGCCATGTGGTGGACCTGTTGTTGGCGCAAGTGGAGTTTTTCACAACCTCCGATGAAGTGGCGCGCTTGCTGGAAGCTGGAACCGACGATGAGACCGCAGAGGATCTGTGTAACCCGGGAAAGGACCACCCAAACCTGCGGTTCTTCAACCCTTACGCCACCGCCGATGCAACAACTGCCCGCGTGGATGACCTCGAGCTCAAGGCGCTGCGCCTGGTTCAAGTCTTGAACATCCTCCGCAACGTCGCCCTCACACGGGTACAGCGCATCCTGCAACACATGCCCGCCAATACCAGCACCACCGTCATTAGCCCGTGTCTACGCGCTCCATCTGGCTGCTGGTTCACAACTGCATGCTCACTGACATTGTGGAACACGTGCGCCCCGCTCACACACTCACACACACACACACACACACACACACACACACACACACACACACACACACACACACACACACACACACACACACACGCAAAACGCACACGCAACACACAACACAACAAAACATCAAATAACACACGTACAACATGCAAACACATTTTTCGCCTTTTGGTCTCAGGCATCCGAGGTTTTGGCCACTCATCCGGCCGTCATAACCCTGATTGCGCGCTGGTGAGTTGCTGATTTGTCTGTTGGTGTATCAGTAACATAGGGTTAATGCGGTAGATGAAGTCCTACTTGGTCTGCTGCCACGAGAGCCTCTGCCAAACACGCACACAACACAACACAACACAACAAAACACAACACAACACAATACTCTAACGCAACACACACACAACACAACGCAGTGTGGTTGCTGGGCGCGCAGCCAAGTTCATCACGCCCGTGCGGCTGACGCTGCTGCACATGGTGTGGAAGCACCGTATCTTCCTGCAGGAGTGCGCCCTCGACGTCCTCGCCGCTCTTGCCGCCCAAATTGAGGTGTGATCACACGCGTCTTGTTGACTTTTGTCATGTGTGCTTGTTTTTCTTGTGTCTTGCTTTTGGGTGACTGTGTCTCTGTGTGCCCTGATGCGTTTCTCTGTTTCTTTCGCACACCGAATCAACCAATGTGTGAGTGCACCCGCCCCCTTCCTCGTGTACTCTTCGACCTCCTTCCATCCTCCCCGCTCCCTTGATGGGGTTGACACTGCCCAACGCATGACATCAACAACTGCCACAGCTGTCAAATAAGAGTGTGGAGCACAAGTGCCTGTGGGATGTGCTGCTGAAGCTCGTTCGTTCGTCAGACCGCAACCTCCTCGTCAGTGCCATCACCACCCTTTCCAAGTTCAACTCCGCCCGGGAAAACCTCCCCTGGATTCGCACCATCGGTATGCATCGCCACACCGAGAGAGGGGAGGGTTTGTGTTTGTGTTTGTGTGTTTGTGTGTTTGTGAGCGAGAGAGAGAGAGAGAGAGAGAGAGAGAGAGAGAGAGAGAGAGAGAGAGAGAGAGAGAGAGAGAGAGAGGGAGGGAGGGAGGGAGAGAGAGTGTGTGTGTGTGTGTGAGTAAGTGAGTGAGAGGGAGGGAGGGAGGGAGAGAGTGTGTGTGTGTGTGAGTAAGTGAGTGAGACAGAGAGAGACAGAGACAGAGAGAGACAGAGAGAGAGAGGCGGATATGGAAATGGAGATGGAGACAGACAGACAGACAGACAGACAGATACAGACGCGCGCACACACACACAGACGCGCACACCAACACACAGAATCACCGCCTGACCCGCCGCCCCCTCCCCACGCCCCTTTCCTCACTCTCCTTCTCTTCCCTTCCTTCTCTTTCCTTGCCTCCGCTTGCGCTGCTTGCCAAGATATGGAGGTGATGGCGGTGGCGCAGCAGTACCTGTTGTTGCACGATGCGCAGGTGCTGCTTGTTGTGCTTGAGTTCTTCTACCAGATGACGCTCCACTCCGAGATGGTGGAGAGAATTGTCAAGCTGCCTGGCTTTGTGCCCTCCATCGTCCCCCTCGTCTCCTTTGCACCAGACAGATGGATGGACAGAGGTGCGTGCCATCACGCATCTTGTTCGCCCCACGTATGAACTTGTACCTACGTGCGTACGTACGTGGTGCAGCAAGTCCTGCAACACCGAGCCCCCTTTGTCCTCCTTGCCCACCACCACCACCACCACCACCACCACCACCACCACTTGACAGAGGCGGCGCCGCTGCTTAACGACGACGGCGTTGATACCGGCGCCCGGCCCGTCTCCTTCTTCGACAGTGAGTAGAAGTGGTTGAGGTCGCGGTCTCCAACGCACGCGCTGCCATTGTTCCACAAACATGCATTGTCTCGCGCGCACGAACAAGCCTTCACACACACACACACACGCGCGCGCGCGCGCAAGTGCATATGCACATGTGCACGCACGCACTGCCTGAAACGCATGAAAACACGTTCATATAAACACCCATGCATACGGGCACACGCATGGATTCACACGTACACGACACGCGTGCAGTCTGGCCCGGGCTGAACGAGTTGCTGTGTTGTGATTCGGATGTGGAGGCGCTTGAACTTCCGCTCGCCGTCATGGAACCGCTGACATGCCAGTGGTGAGCACCTCGCACTGATTCATGGTTGTAGCACCCGCGTTTGCACCGAGCCCAGCACACACACACACACACACACACACACACACACACCTTTGACGTACGTTCGTGTACGCATACGTGTTTGTCTTGACTTGACAGGCTGTCCAAGTGCTTCAAGTTCACCAACGACCACTCCTCCGCCATCAAGCGATCCGATATGTACACACGATACATGGCCCACTGCCAAGGTGCACGCGTGGCTCTTGCATCGACCTTGTTGCAGCCCAACTGTCGTCTCTTTGGCGACACACAAACACACACACACACACACACACGCCTTCTCTCAACTCCCTGTATTCGTTGTGCGCTCGTGCTTACATGCTCCATGTGTCTCTGTGTTGTTGCCAGAGTACGGCTTGATTCCGCTGTCGCAGCGCGTGTTTGGCTGTCTGGTGCGCAAGACCTTTCCCAAGTGCGGCTGCATCACCACTGCATCCCTGGGCCTCTCCACCATCTACACCGCAATTGCCCAGCGAACACGCATTCCCCCGCCTGTCAGTCACCTGCGTGTGTGTCCGTGTCTGTCTGTGTGTGTGTGTGTTTGTGTGTGTGTGTTTGTGTGTGTGTGTGTGTGTGTGTGCGTGCGTCTGTCACTGCCTCTCCCTCTGTCGTCATTCTCTGTCTGTGTCTGTGTGTGTGTGTGTGTGTGTCTGTCTGTCTGTCTGCGTCTCTCTGTGTGGATACGCAATTGCATGCAGCCATACATGCGTGCGTGTGTTGCTGGTGTCATTTCCCGCTTTCACTCCTCCTTCTGTGTGCTTGCCACGACTTCAACGTGCTCTGCACCCACCGTCTTGGCCCCCTCCGATGGTGCTCACATATCCATGGCATGCCTGCGCCCCCTCCCCCCCCCCTCTACACGCCCTCCCAGCCAAGAAACATGCTGAAGTTGTCTGTGCCGCTGCCAGTAATTGCAGAGGACCGATTGCGCAATCCGCCGCCGCCGCCCACAGCAGCGGAACAGCAGGGAGCGGGAACGCACACGAGAGGCGCAGGTGCAGGTGCAGGTGATGGTGGGGATGGAGAGACGTCAGGTGCTGTGGGTCAGCAGCAAGCGGGCCAGGGCGAACCGAAGCAGCACGAAGAGGCAACGACAGAGGAGGGTGAAACTGCCCCGAGCAAGCAACCAGGCAAGAGCGTGGCGGCAACTGTACCTCCAGCACCTGAAACAGAGCAGCAGCACGGCAATAGTGGTGGCACAGCAGCAGATGTAACGGCCATGGACGAAACACGTGATGAGACCGCCGAGGCAGGGGGGCAGGTGGAGGAAGGCAGCCGCCGCGAGGACGGTGCAGCAGACGTCCACGATGCACAGGGATCGAGTGCTGAGGCGTTATCCAGCAGCGAAGCAGACGCGAACCCAGCGCCACAGCAGCAACAGTTGGAGGGGCAGAAGGAAAGAGTGGATGACCAGCAGCGTGGCAAGGCGATGGGGCCGGGTGAAGGTGACCAGGAGACAGCACCACCGGCATCAACCACCACAGCAGCATCCAGCGCACTGACGCCCGCGGCCATTGCGCTGTTGTCGACGAAACTGCCACAGACGGACGGCGGTGGTGATGGAGGTCAGGACGGCCCACCGACCCCGCATGCACACATGGGCGCAACCCGCACACCCTCTACACCAGGC